CCGCTGCTCTCAAAAAAGCCTGGCCGACCCAGCTTCCACGAACTATTTTACCAGTCTCACACGGCACTTTCAGAATATCACAGCTACCTACCCTGCGTTCCTTCTCTGCCGGAATCACAATCAATGCCTGCCAGATCGAAGCCTGGTGACGCTCAGGATCAAGGGGCGCGAGACCCACCTGAGCTGAAATGTGGCAGTCTGTGTTGGGGTCCAGATGATGATCGTGAGATTGACGTGCTCCGTTCGGCCGAGCCGAACGGAATCTTGCTGGTGTTGTTACTTGCAACTTGTGGGACAGAAACCCCCCATCCGGGGTGGACCTGAACATGGAGCGCAAGGCGGGCACAGTGTTCAAGTTGCTGCGCAATTTAGTGGCTGTGTTAGGAAAGCCGCATTCAATGGACAGGGGTTTTAGAGACGATATTTGGCACCATGCTTTTGCGGCTCTGAGGTTGCACAGAAGGCGGACAACCTTGGAAACGTAACCGGGCCAATTGCTGCAGATGGGTCTTGGCCTGGCAGAAGGATGGAACAAAGAACTATCCCTGACGGACAGGCACAAATGACGGACCTGTCATGTTAAGGCCACCAGCGAAAAGTTTTCACCTTGTTGATATAGGACGTGATGACCTCCAAACGGCATGGGTTGAACCCCGGCTGCAGGACTAGACGTCGATTGTCCATCCTGGAACCTGGACAGTGGATTCTGGCGGAGCTCGGAGGGTGGGGGGATCCTTTGCTTGTTGCTTCAGGCACTGTCCAGCACCCCCTGGATTACATCTGTCCAACTATCCTGCTGGCAGTCAGGGTTGTGGCAGGACGATCCTTGCACGTTTCGTTCATCCGTCAGTCAAGCCTTGTGGCAAGGTGATCCCTGCCAGTTTGCTTCACCCATGTCCCAATCAAGCAACCAAGTCGTTCTATGAATGGTCCGTTAAAGCAAATCTAGCCCAAGACCAACCCAATAGGCTTCCTTTTCTCCTGACAGGCAGTCTTTAACACCAAATGCTCTGATATTATATTAATAATACTTGACTAGCTTGGCAGTTTTTATTTTATTTTATTTTATTTTTTAAGTTGAACGTAAAAGCCCTGTCCAAGTAAGAAGCGAGGTAGCTACCTAGCATAAATCCCAAGGTCAAGGTTGATTTCCAAAAGTGGTGGACGAAGACCGAGGAATTCCTCCATGGCAAGTCACAGCAAGTGACCGAACTGCTCAAGTCACTAGAGCCCAACCCACCATCCGTAGGCATTACCCCTTTTTAAGCTGTCAAGGTCCCAACCGTTGCCGGTGTTATTGTCTTTCCGTCAATTGAATGATGGGAGCCAACTCGGTGGCATACGGACTGGTGGCTGTCTGATACCGGGTAGATTGCCTTTACTGCCGTCGACAGCGGCTCGCATAAAAGTGGCCGTCATCGTATTGGCAACCTGACAAAGTGTGGTTACGCCGCGGGTGTCGCGACTGCAGCCTAGTCCTTAACCAGGATCTGGAACGCCAACGCGAGGCACGCGTGAAGTGCCTGCCAAGACGACACGGACCCACGAGTGTAGCCAGACGATCGAATTTTCTGCATCCTTTTCCGAACCCTCGCCTACGCCCCCCCTGCCCTGAATTACAGTGGACGCAAAATGGAGTAAAGCACGGTCGCATGCTCTACGGTGGAAGAAGCCAGCACTAGGTAGTGGAGATGTCCTGTGCGGTTCCCTGGAAAAGATCAGGCCAGGCAACATCAGGGCTGTCCCTGCCAAAGCACGGACAATCACCTTCATGACCAGGCCGGCTCCATAACGTCTCATACCGGGTTCTCCTAAACAGGGGCAGCTTTACTTGTGTTCGACGACGCTGCCGACGAGGCAAGTCGGCTACTATCACTCGTTATTTCCTCTCTTCATCTGCAGCAAGCAAATCTAATAAATTGATGGTTGGTAGGCCGTATTAGGTAGGTTTTTGGCACGTTTCTACTTACCACCTGTTCTCTGATCAGATCCAGTCACTGCCGTTTCCGTACTGTGTCCTCCAGGCTCCAGGCTACGGCTCCGCAATCTAGCTTGCCAAACCGACATCCGAGACTAATTCCGAGTCGCCCGACTTGGTCAGTCATGGCTGCCTAGTTCCAGGTGAATCGCAATCTGGCACCGAATGGTCCAGATTGAGCCCCGCGGGGCGAGCCAACAATGCAGTCATCTCCCGGAACCTTGCGGAATGGCTACCCTCTTTGATGCTCCACGCGCCCCCAGTCCACGTTGTGGTGGGAGAGACCCTTCAAAGGCCTGTCAGACGTCCTTGTTCAGCGTCGGCTGTCACGGCGGCGGGCCCCGGCAAGGCAGCATTTTGCATGCACGGCGCACGGCAATGCAAAGCCTGAGCCAGCAGCCGAGCTAGCCGCGCTTACGAATAGCAATTCATGCATCAAAAGAAAATCTTCAATACATGCAGCAAACAGGAAAGCGAGGCGATACCGTATCGCTACGGCTGCCTGTCAGGAAGTTCTTGCTTGCCACTCTTTGCACAGCCTCTTCTTTTTTCGCCTTTTAACAGGGCTAGCATTAGCATTAGCGCCTTACGCCTCCTGCGTCTGTGCAAGCCAGGAAACATGGTGTGCATCGTAAGCCATCTCTGCCGGGTGTGAGCTCGGAGCTGTGACGCCACTCGACGAGGCGCACTTCGCCCCTGGACACGATTGTACGGCTAGCAAAATTGACGAATGGGCAACTAGACTAGGGACGTTCTGCGGAGGCTTTCTTGTGCCTCGCGTGTGTAAGAAGAGACTGAGCCATCATCTCAACGGCTCGACGGCCAGTGCGTAAGTATGACCAGCGTGCTGCAGGGGGCGCTGGCAACAAGTTCATAGTACCAAGCTGACGAACCCAAAACTGACTGTGTCGTCGAGTGATGTAAACCGTTACACTATGCCGGATTCGATCCAAATGATTATCGCAGCTGGCGGATCGGGGTCATTAGGTCATCCTTGTTCCAACATCTCTCTGTCGACATGCCTTGTCTTGTCTACCAGCTGTTAGATGGACTTTGTGCTTTGGAATGTCGACGTCTATCTGTACGAAACACACTTCCGGCGAGCTAGTAACTCGAAGACGAAGAAGCATGGGCGGGCACGCGGCCAGCGCAACTCCGACGTTTGCTCCGGAGTGATGTACCGCCGCCTTCC